ATTTAAGTGATTGGGTACAATTTTCATGACTCCGCAAACAAGGGGTATTTTTAGACTATGAATTGAGAAATTCGATATATCGGCTCAAAATTTAAAGGCTAAAAGAGCTAAGAAATCTTCGAATGAGATGTGGTGAAGAAACAAAGATGAAGAGAAAGAAAAATAATATATTATATAAAGAAAATGGTTTGAATTGTTAATTAGCGTGACAAATGAAAATAGTGTCAATTTTCGTTTGGTAGAAGTGTGATGGAATGGTCATGCTTTTCAATTATCTATGTATTTTAACTTATCATAACAAGTAACATCCTTTCGGTGAAATGTGCTTACTTATACACATGCTACATCAATATATAAGATGATGTTAGTTATAGTACATAAACATCGACCCAAATAACTTAGATTAACTACAAATAATGTTGTTGATATTATTATGACATAATACATAAACATCACTCTTAACTTGGTGTTAGCTGACAACTATAACCTTTAACTTTGGGTGTGCACAAGTAGACACTTAAACGTGTATAAAATTGGACAAATATACACATTCTCGTCCTACGTGGAACCCTACATGACAATTTTGTGTCCTACGTGGTATCCTTTGTGTATTATGCCACGTAGGACATGTGTGTCTACTTGTTTAATTTTATACAAGTTTAAGTGATTACTTGTGCACGCACACTCAAAGTTGGAAGGCATAGTTGTCCATTGAAGTCAAGTTAAGGATCATATTTATGTATTATGCCTTTTATTATTATTGTCATAGTACGTAGACTCTATAAAAGTTAAACTATCTCTATATATATATTTCTATATATAGGTGGCACTAGTGGAATTAAAGCTTATTTCATGTTGGTGTGATGAGTTTTTTTTCCATTTGGCCATACTCTTTCCAAGTGCAACTAAAGTTGTGGTCCTATTTTACTGACTAAAAAGAGAAATATGCATAGAAAGATTTGACTATTACTTCAATAGTACAAAAAGGTGTGGCCAAAACTTTAATTTTGCAGGTGAAATCTAACCAAGCTAGAGTGCTACTCCCTCCGTTTCAAAAAGAATGGTCTGGTTTAACTTGACACGGAGTTTAAGAAATTAAAGAAGACTTTTGAATCTTGTAGTCCTAAATTAAAGTTATGTCAAATGTACAAAATTGCCCTTAATCTTGTGGTCTTAAACATGTCACGTGGAAAGCTAAAAGTAAAATGTTACCAAAAAAGGAAAGAGGTCATTTTTTTTTAAACTGACTAAAAAGGAAATGAGGTCATTCTTTGTGAAACGGAGGGAGTATATCATAAAGAGTTTTTTTTTTTAGTTCTTAGACTTGAAAGAAGCAACTTTTATGGAACTTGAATTAACACTAACATTTTGTGATTTTCACACCTTATTCTTCCATAATAGTTGTAAGATTAAGTTTTTAAGGTTCTTGTTTCTTCGACTTTTGTTACTATATATTGTCTCTTGTAATTCGTTTATTGTACTGTTTTGTTGTAGTTACTGGTCCTTTTTTCAGTATGTTTTGTCATGTCTTTGTGTATTTTACTCATGTTATTTTCATAAGTAAAAGGTCTATTGAAAATACATATTTATCTCCTAAGATAGGGGTTAGTCATGCGTACACACAGCTTTTCTTAGACTCACTTATGTACCATACTGAGTATATTATTTATTCGAGATTTTCGTATAGTGATGAAATTAAAAAAATTATTAAGAAAATTGAAAAGGATAAAGCTACCATGTCGGAAATCTAAACTTGGCCTAAAACATTCTCGAGTTGCTATTGCCACTATCACACTAAATGAGGACAAGATTTTTGGTTTTGCACCCGCAACTAATTAATATAAAGAATCGAACTGAATTTTGATATGAAAACTTATAAGTGATCACTTTCAAATTCAGAAAAATCACATTCATTTAGTTATCTAAAATGGATAAACACATTTTATCCATTGTAGAAAATAATATTTGATTACTATAATATACAAAATCTTGGTAGCTTTATACTATAATGATCAATCCTCATGAAAATGAGACATCAAATGAGAGCAATTGCATGTGAAGTTTAAACATAAAAAATTATATAAAGTAAAGTGAAACTCAATTTAAAAAGACAATTTACTAATTTTAACTAAAAAAAAAACTATTACTACCACTTACTATTTATAAAAACATATTATATTTACCACTTACACAATGATGATAAATCCCCATGAAAATGAGACATCAAATGAGAGAAATTGCAAGTGAGTACAAAACAAAAAATATAAAAAGTAAAGTGAGGTTCATTTTAAAAAGGCAATTTACTATTTTTTAACTAAATAAATATTACTCCTAATATCACTTACTATTTTTAAACATTGATTAGTTGGTCCATGTGCCACAAACCAAATCATTATAATTTTTAGATTTGTTCAAAAATCAATATTAAATAAATATAGATAGCTGTCTCTGTGATGGTGGCTAATTATAACTTTGAAAAAAAAATTAATAATAAAATTGATGTAGAGAAGTTTTTTCTTATTTTCACGTATTTTTCATTTGATGTATGATATTTATATTAAGCATTAATTTATTTTAAATAAACATAGTGCATGACTTATTTTTGGTAACGATATTTCCAATAATATATTTTTATCAATATTTCTAATTAAGAATGATGAAATCTCAAATTGATAATTCTCCTTGTATTAATGAATCATTATTCTATTAGTCAAAATTAAATTATCAATGTCCATATCTTTCCACCGTTATGGGACCCATGTCAAGCATGACCAAAAATTCATAATCAAAGATCCCCTTTAAAATTCATCCATAAGCACGTAAAGGAAAGGAATAATATTATTTTTAGTTACTCAAATTTTATAAAATTTTATTTTGACCCTTATGACTTATGAGTAATGATAGTTTGGTTAGACATGTCGATTTTTTGAATAAATGAAGTGGTGTGCTTTAATCCTTTTGTTTGCTAGCTATAGTTTACACTATTTAATAATTAATGTATAATATTTTGTACTATTTTCTCAATATTTAAGGGGCTTTTAAAAATAGTTTTTAAATATAATAATATATTGCCTACATAAAATGACCAAAGAGACATATTTTTGTTGGTTAAATATACTTAGTTATTAAATAAAATAAAGATCAAAATTAAAATATATCAATAACTAAATGATCAAAAAATGATATCATCCCTAAAAGAAAAAAACTAGCGTAGCAAATTCAAGATTCTGTGAGTATTTTAATTAGATGAAAAATTCACCTTTTTAGAAAACTTTCATCTGTTATTCGACATTCAATTTGAAATTCAATTAAAATTGAATTCATACATTACATGGTCTCTTTTTTGTACACGACACATTACATGGTCTCTTTTTTGTACACGACATTCTCAAATTTTTTTTATTCCCAACAATTCAAAACTTAAAACCCCTGATTAAAGATCGAGGGATCCAACCATATGATCACGTCCACCGACTATGTTGGTAGCCAAAAAGTCTATGTTTGATAGTATTATTATTGTCTTTGTTGTTGCTCTAGTTAGTATTTAAACACAAACTATTCATTGGGGTGATTTTCATTTAAATGATTATAAGTTTGCTGACTAATTTATAAAGATAAAGAAATTAGGATATTTAAACACCAACTATTCATGATCAGAGTGATTTTCATTTAAATGATATTTCCTATGTTCCATATTAGTTAATCACTTTTCATTTTGTACGATATTTAAGAAATTATAAATAAGAAGATGTTTTATTAATTGACCCCTGAAAACTTCTTGAGAACATCGCAAACAAATGTTAACACTTTAAAAAAAAAAAAATTGCAAGCGTAATATAGGAAAAAAATAATTAGTGCTTTTTTGATTTAGGTGATCAACTAGTAACTAATATGAGATTTATTTAGTGTAATGATCAACTAATATGAAACAGAGAAAGTAATAAGTTCACTTATTACATTGAGGGGTTTTAATACACTTTAATATGAAAACTCCACCTAATTAATGTTACTATTACTCTTATGAAAACATTAACTTCATGGTTGAAAGAGACAAATAAATACGTATTCATGTCATAATTTAACGTTTACTTTCTCCGTTCTGTATTAATTGTCCATATTACTAAAAATAAATATTTTAATTTCTTTATCTTTATAAGTTAGATAAGATTTACTTACTCTATTCTTCTCAAATCTCATTTGTGAAATTATACTAAATATATTATTAGAAAACTATTGATGAGAAAGTTTTTTGAAAACTCATTTCCCTTATTTATATCTTTAAACTTTTACTATATAATCTTTTCAACATATATTCAATCTATTTATTCAATTTCAACAACAATTAATATCAAGAAAGCAATGGAAACCAATAAAATTCATTGAAAAATCATACAAAAACACAAACCACAAATAATCACAAACGACTAGTCATTTGTTAAATCACCTTTTTTCCTTTGGAAGATAAGAAAAAGGAGAAATAATTAAAAAAGCTCAAATCCGCACCAATAAAGAAAATATTCAACCAACCAATCAAGTGAATTATGACCGTTCAAAATCAAATCAAAATCGATAATCCTAATAAATAAAAAAAAGTTATATGCTAGCGTTTGTTTTTTAACAGATGCAATCTGTCAACTTAGGTGCATGGTTCATCTGGTTTGTCACTTTGTTTCTAAGTTATCTTCAATGATTTTTTTTAAAGCGATAACGATTTAGTTGGTCTGATAACCAATAAGTTTAATCAATATGCTTCAAAATCAAACTGAACCGACTCATATACAGAGCTACTAAGATTCTCCGATAAATATTATTCATTTTATTATATAAAATAAATTTGGAAAAAAACTAGATATATATTATTTTTAAATTTTGGATCAATATTTTTTTTTCTTGTGGTGGGAATTTTGAGGGGTATTTGTATAATTTCATAGCCGCCATGTACGACCTGTCCCCATAACAACATTCTAAGTCCACCACCCGTCAAAGTAATTCAGTTTTCTTTTAGCAGAAGAAGACACACAGTTTCTCCCTTGTATCCGCGGAGCACCCTATATTTTCTCTCTCTCTCTCTCTCTACAATTTTTTCTTCCAAAAGAGGAAGCATTCTGAGCTGTACGAAAGCTGTTGTTTCCTCCATTTTCATCGATCAAGGTACTTCGACGTTTTTGCTTATTTTAGCCTATATTTGTTTGGATTTCGTTTTGTTACTTGGATTTGATGACTCTGAATTTACCAGATCTGATGTTTGTTTGATGATTGTGTGAGTTGATTGATCGTTTTAACTGTATTTGTTGATTTGTTGTGTGGTTTTTGGCAGTTAGTTGAGAAAATAGTCATTTGATTGCTGGTTTATGTGTTTTTTTTTTTTTGGAAATGAGTTAATTGATCGTTTTACTGGAAGTGATGAGTTTTTGTGTGATTTTTGGAAGTAAGTTGAGGAGATACGGGTTTAATGCTGGTTTATGAGACTTTAATTGTTCGTTTAACTGGAATTGATGAGTTTTTGTGTGATTTTTGGAAGTAAGTTGAGGAGATGGGGGTTTGATTGCTGGTTTATGCGACTTTAATTGGTCATTTTACTGGAAATGAAGAGTTTTTGTGTGATTGTTGGCAGTAAGTTGAGAAATTTAGGCTTTGATTGCAGGTTGATGTGACTTTAATTGATCGTTTTACTGGAAATGACCAAATTTTATGTTATTTTTGGCAGTAAGTTGAGAAATTTGGGTTTTGATTGCTGGTTGATGCGACTTTAATTGATCTTTTTTGCTGGAATTGATGAGTTTTTATGTGATTTTTGGAAGTTAGTTGAGGAGATAGGGGTTTGATTGTTGGTTTGTGTGAGTTTAATTGATCGTTTTACTGGAAATGACGACTTTTTATGTGATTTTTGACAGTAAGTTGAGAAATTTAGGCTTTGATTGCTGGGTTGTGCAGCTTTAATGGATCGTTTTACTGGAAACGACGAGTTTTTATGTGATTGTTGGCAGTAAATTAAGAAGTAGGGCTTTGATTGGTGGTTTGTGCGACTTTAATTGATCGTTTTACTGGAAATGAAGAGTTTTTGTGTGCTTGTTGGCAGTAAGTTGAGAAGTAGGGCTTTGATTGCTGGTCTATGTGACTTTAATTGATCGTTTTACTGGAATTGATGAGTTTTTGTGTGATTTAATGGAAGTAAGTTGAGGAGATGGTGGTTTGATTGCTAGTTTATGTGACTTCCTTTGATCGTTTTACTGGAAATGACGAACATTTATGTGATTTTTGGCAGTAAGTTGAGAAATTTGGGCTTTGATTGCTGGTCTATGTGACTTTAATTGATCGTTTTACTGGAATTGATGTTTTTTTGGCAGTAAGTTGAGAAAATAGGGGCTTGATTGCTGGTTATGTGACTCAATTTATTTTACTGGAATTGATGAATATTTTTCGTGTGATTTTTGGCAGTAAGTTGAGGAGATAGGGCTTTGATTGCTGGTTTTTTGTGAAGAGATGGCGAACCGAAGGGAGGATGAGAAGAATGAAAGAACCATACGGAATCTGCTTAAGCTTCCGGACAATCGACGATGTATAAACTGTAATAGTTTGGTAAGTTTGATCTATCCTGTCGGTTATATGAATCCTCTATGTTGGTTCTGTTCTGCTCTATTTAATATTCTCTAAATCCCATTTTAGGTGGGGGGAATGTCAAAGTACCTAACTTTGATGCGAAGTTGAATGTAGATTCTTCTAAGTTTTTTGGAAACAAAATTTACATCTTTGGAAGTTGAATATTGAATTTAGTAAGTCACTATAGTTAATGATTCGACACAGCTTACTTGATCAAAAAAAAAAGATTCGAAATATTGAAAATGTAGGAACACATCATGGTAAAATAAAATTCTTTGGCTCTTCAAATATCACATAGAAAGGGACATAGGAGTAGTTTGTTATGCTTAATCAATCTGTTAACTACGTCTCGATCCAAAACTAGTTGGCAATGGTTATAGGAATGCTCTATATCTGTTTCGTTCGGCTCTATTTCTTAGTTTAGCATTTTGACCATTTTTCTATTTGGTCACTTTCTGTTTGGTCTTAATTTTACCTCTTTAGCTGCTGAATTTGTTCTTGTATTTGAACTGTGAATTGTGCATGACCTTCGGTTTGGTCTATATCTGTTCCTTTCTGCTCTATTTAATAATTTCCAATAAGCTTGAAAGGATACATAGAAGATTAGCATGGCTTTTACACATTAGAATGACAAGAAAAGTAAGGCCAAGTTTTTAATGATGAACTGTCTTAACTAGGAGTGGAGGGATGGGGAAATGCATGTCCAATGTGGGCTTCTGTTTAATATGTTTGTGTGTGTAAAGTGACTGCATTTCTCTCTAGGTTTGGATGTGACATGGTGTAAGCACAAACAGATACCATGATATGCTAATTGGGTGAAATTCTAAATCTAATCATCATGTAGGCTGTAAAATTGGCTACCTCACCACTTGCTTACCATTTATTTACTCTAGAGACGACCTTCACTTGTAAAGCTACATTTGATTCCATTCTCCAAGAAAAAGCTACATTTGATTCCAAATGCCACAAGTATTCCAAGTCTTGTTACGTTAAGTTTAATTTGCTTTATTCATTTAATCTTTATTACAAAAAAGTATGCTAACTTTCTTTGAAAAAGTTGAGCATCTTCTGAAATTCAGAAGTGCAGGTAATAAGAAGATGCTCTGTATGTGGAAGGAATGTATTAAGAGGAAGAGCTTAGTATTTACTCTTCAAGATTTGCTTTTCTTAGAAAATATCCTTGTCTAATATAAATATAGATGAGAAGCATTTATGAGATTTTATAGGATATATTTCAAAATGAATTTTGAGGAATGCTATGCATTCAATGGAAATAATCTGCATAAAGAGATTTTCTTAACTTAAAAAGAAGAGTAGCTTCAACCATGGTAGTAAGATAGCATGTGCATCCTATATTTCCCGTTTAACAGAAAACACACACATCTACAGTGTTTTCACTGCTTTAAACTTACTTCAACTCCTTTCCTTACTCTCTTCTTATCCTGGCGCATTTTTGACAATATGATACTTCAAGAATCAAGAGTCTAAGGGATCATTAGATTGAGGGATTAATAGAAATTATCCCAGTGTAATATTCAACATACGTAGGATACGAATATGCAATTTTTGGTTTGAGGAATTAGAAAAAATTATCCTGGTCACTAGTGTTTGGTTGGCTGTACTAAATAATATCCACATTAAGTTGTACAAGAATCTATGCATTATTTTATGCGGGGAGAGAATATGAAATAACCAAATAAAAAATTATGTTTATTAGCAATATGAAGATTAAAGTATTTAAAATTTCCTTAAAGTAGGTAATCTATGAATAACATTCCTTGTAATATTACTTTTTACATACAAATCTCTGTTATTTTCATCATATAGCAGTCTTTTTATTGTTATTGACTGCATAAATAATCCTTCTATTCTAGTTCCACATAATTAGCATGTGAACCAAATGACCTATTAATGGTTTGTTTATGCACTTTTCCATATTCCACTTCATTAGTTCATTGACCTTTATCTATAATGATGACAATGTTTCTTCTACTGGTTATGATATATCGTTAGGCTTATAAATAGACATGATTTTCATTTGAAAATATTGAGTAAACGAGCTCTTTTTCCAGCATGCTTCTCTTAAACTGAAAGAATGTCTTTACTGACTATGAGAGAATTGTCACATTGATTTGGGTTTCAATTTTCTCGTCTTTGTTCGACTTACATATATATATTTAGATGAAAAACCCAGATATATCCAGTGTCACTGTAGATAAAGACTGTCTCATTCCCTTTCATTTCGTTTGATTAGATGTATTATTGGAAATAATTCCTGTAGTAAATTCTTTAGTTATGCAGATTTAGTGCCAATTTTAATTGCAATAGTAATAATCCTTGCATTAGTTATGCTGCAATTGGAACATTATTATATATTGAAATCATTGTGGTGTAACGATACAACTATTACCAATACATGTATTAGAACGTGTAGATGTCTAAATTGCCCTTTAAAGTATCAGGCTTACATTTAATAATTTTAAAATTAAAAAGAAAGTTATATGATAAAATTTTCATGTTCAATAGATGATTGTGAAATTTATTTATTTATATAACATTTTGTATATTGAAACAACCAGTCTATCTCCATGAGGTGGTGGTAAGGTCTGCAAGCACTCTACCCTTTGAGACCCCACTTAGTGGGATTTCGCTGAGTATGTTGTTGTATATAACATTTTTCTATCTCTTTTTAAATTTCATCTTGAAAATATCTTGTCCTTGAAAAAATAAAAGTTGTAATCATTATTGATGTAACTCAATTTTATTTTTAAGTTTAATAGAGCAAAATTTTATTCATATATGTTAACAAAACCAATATTAGATTAAGTGATTTAAAACAAATGTTTATCCAATTTAAGCCAAAGTGTTTTAAATGATGCACCGTGTATCTAGATATTATTAGGATGAACTAAACAACCAATAGTAAATACAGTAACCTAACAATCCATTGGTTATAATTCACCATATTACAATCTTTCTATCAAAATTCTTGTATAACTTGTCCATAAATTTAGTGACTCATTAATGTATATACCGTAGAGGCTCCTGTGTCATTTCTTGGATTCTTTTTCTTCGCTTTCGTGCCTCTCTTATTTGTCTGAATTAGTTGCATAGCAGGTTTCTTTAAATATTATCAAGTGTCGTTCTTATCTATTGAAATAACACATGTATAGTAATATATCTCATACTTCTCTGTCTAACAGGGGCCACAATATGTTTGCACTAATTTCTGGACATTTGTTTGCACAACATGCAGTGGTTTACAGTAAGTGCTGTTATTCATAAAATGCTGCAACCATCATTCCTCTGTGATGCTTAAAAATGTTTCCTAGCATTAGAAACTCCTTTTAACTTCTAGTTCCTTGCTTATTGTTCTACATTTGAAAATACTGGCAGTCGGGAGTTCACCCATAGAGTGAAATCAGTATCCATGGCTAAATTTACCTCACAAGAAGTTAGTGCCCTTCAAGGAGGAGGAAATGCGGTATGCATGCTCCTTTTGCTACAAGTGGCACACCTACTTCTAATGTCATGTTCATATTCCTTTCATCACTGGTTGCCTGACTCCTTTATCCTTTTGCCTTTGCGGTTTTTTATTTGGGGATGGGGGGTCATTTTCACAGAGTGCAAAGGAAATATATTTGAAGGACTGGGACCCACAGCGTAATTCTCTCCCAGATGGCAGGTTTGTGATCTTAATAAAATGTATGTATTTGATACTTATTATTGACCCCAAATGAGTTCTAATAGTCTTTGTGTTCAGTAATGTAGAGAGGCTTCGTGATTTTATTAAGCATGTGTATGTGGATAGAAGATACTCCGGTGAAAGGAGCATTGAGAAGCCACCAAGGGGAAAGATGGTGCATATTCTATCCCGCTCATCCTCAATTTTAACTTTCAGAATAGCTCATGATGTTTCTTACAGGAGAAGAATTTCCATGATGTCCTCACTTGAGCATATTTTCTGTTCTAAAACCTTTGATGTCCACTAGTTGAACATGTTCCTTTTAATACATATAATATTTGATATCTGCAGGCTGAAGCCGAGAACTTGAACGAGAACAGGAAGACAGATACCTACCGGGGTGGCTCTCGAAGCCCACCAAATGAGGAAGTATATGAGCGCCGATATAGTGACAGACCTAGTCCTGGTGGGAGAAGTAGTGGTGGAAGAAGTCCTGGATATGATCAAAGAAGTCCTGCCCGTGCTGAAGTAATCAATGACTGGCGACGGGAGGATAGATTTGGGAATGGTCGAACTTCTGATGGAGGATCCAAGTTTGAAAGCATGTCACCTGACCGTCAAAGCGACTTTGACACATCTAGTCCCCCAATGGTTCGGCCTGTTAGAGAGATTCTTGGAGAGAGTGTATCTCCTCTTCGAGTTATTGAACCTCCGAAAACCAATGGTGGTAGGTCTGCTGCTGATAGTTCCATGAGAACCCAGGTGTGGATTATATCCTATACAACAGCATATGGTATTTGATTCTTTTGGATGATGATTTTAAGCTTTGTTACATTATCTAGTAACACACCCATTATGATCCCGGTTTGTTCCCATAAGACATCCTATGATATCTGTTCCTTTTTTGGATGATGGTACAATCCTTTGGTTTTTGATATAGTTACACATCTTTTGGAAACGACTTACCCAAGTAAAATATCTGGTGAATGATGGCATCAATATTTGATAAAAAGCTCTTTCTCGAATGTTTTTTTGGCAACCAATGTGAATATTACCATTAACAAAAACATCCGCATACAAACTAGGAGCCCCAACCTCATCACCCTCTCTCTAGTAAGGATGTAATGAGGAATGGCCTCAGAAAGACCAACAGTTAAACTACATAAAATTTGCCAAAACTTCTACATCTATTTGCTCTTTTTGTATTTTTATACATGTCTATTCTCTCTACTATTTCTCGTGTAATTTTCCCCACTGTGTCGGTATGCAGTATCTATACACCTTTGAATTGCTTCCAGTTCCTTGCTTTTCAGATGTGATACACCATAGCTCCCCATAGAGCAGCCACCACTTCCTTCTTAAACTTCTTCCAGTGCTTCATTTTAATCATCTCCAATATAGTTTTCAATTCTCTTGCAGGCAATGAGATGTTGGACCACTGTAGAAGTTCAACTCTCACCCTTGCAGCATAATCACAGTCTACAAACAAGTGCTTGCTTATCTCCATCACTGATGCTTGACATAGGCAGCATCTAGTGTCTTCCACGCGAATATTCATATTCAACATTCTCTTTCTCGATTGTTCTCAAAACCTTTTATTTAACAAATAGGAAATATGTACATCTAGATTTCACACAACTCTTAGCATTTTCAAACTGCATGGGCTTTACCTGTAATGTCTCCTTACTGCTCACCTAACCAAAAGGTGCAAAATATGCTCCACATTACTTACCAACTATGTTGCTCGGACTCGTCAAAAATGTCAACGGGTGTGTATCGGACCCTTCAAAAGTAGTGCATTTTTTTAGGATCAGACATGGGTGCGGCATCATTTTTGGAGAGTCCGATCAACATAGGTTACCAGTATACTCTTTTCTTTTATGGCTTTCCCATTGCCTGCCAATTAATAAGGTGCTAAATAATTTTATGTGTATGGTGCAGAGGACTGCATCTTCCAGTAGTTTGGCGTCCTCCAACGGGAACCCTGTCGAACTTAAGACCGAAACCTCATTAATTGATTTTGATGATGTTCCTGAACCCCCAGCTTCTGCACCCGCACCACAAATACAACAATCTGTTACGGTCATGCCCGTTGCTCAACCAACGAAATCTGCTGCTGACAACTGGGCGAACTTTGATTCATTTGCAGAGGTTAAAGCATCTCCAGCTCCTTCAAATACCAATCTACTGGAGACTGTATTCTCAGAGTTGACAGCTCCAGCAACTGCAACTGCTCCTTCAGGAAGTCCTGGTGGTAGTGCAGCTCCATTCACTCCCTTCAGTAGTTTTGCTCCTGGAGCTGCAACTATGGACAACTCAGCAGCATTTCCTCTTGGTGGTGCTCCAGCTGCACCCACTGGACCGACATCAATACTGCCAGTTAGTGGTGGTAATGCCTTTGCAAATACTCATGGTGGACACTGGTCTAATATGCAACCTCAGCAGACTTCCTTGTTTCCTGTGACTGGCCAACAGGCTATATCACAGCTTTCTACTCCAGCTGCTGGTGGACATTCTGGCAACCAGGTAGCTTTTTAGCGCTGCATTGTCCTTGAGGCCAACTCGCTGTATCCTTGTGTTTCAGTACTGATCATTGTGAATCACGATCTTTCCTCTTTCAGCAATGGAATTCTTCAGTTGCCCCAAGCACACTTGGTTTTTCTAGTTCAGCAACTGCACAAGTTCCTCAAGCTGTAAACCCTGTCCTTCAGGAAGCCACTTCTGCAGTTGCATCTCAAGCTTCTTCTGTTGAAATCAAATCCATTGGAAGAAAAGAACTGCCTGCGGTGAGTTCTTTTCTATGGTTTTATTATGTTTTTAAATTTAGTACTCATGATATATTTAGAAGATTTGTATAGCCTAAAGTATGAACATTTGTCTAGGTTAAGAAGTTCTCTCTCTTTAGTAGATGGATACATTTAAAAAAATCCTGTAGTCTGAGAATGTACATTTCTTTGCAGGATTTGTTTGCTGTAAATTATTCTTCAATTTCTGGAGCTTTTCCAGGCTGGCATGCTGGTCCACAGCAAGGCTATGGATTCGCTATGCAGTACAACATGTCAATGGTATCTGTGCTGACCCAAAGTGTTTATGCTTGACTCTGCTATTTTATTGTCACATCATGCTTAACTCGCTTGCACCTTGCTCATGGACTGGTTTTCAGGCTACAAATGCTTTTCCACAACCATCAAAATCAACAAACCCTTTTGATGTCATAAATGAACCAACTTCACAAGCTCCAACGGTATGTGAAAATAATTTCACCTTACTTTGAATGATTTGTTTTGTCACCACTTATGATGCACAAGGCATTCATATTAAAAGAGAATCAAGCCCCCCCTCTCCTCCCATCCTCCCGCGTACCCACACAAAAAATGAAGAAGAAAGGATGTACCTAAGATTTTTCCTTGTAGCAAATGAGAAGATAGGAGCAGAGATATGTTTGGTTTTATACCCTTTTGGACTGTACTGAAGACATTTCAACTTGTGTTGAATTGTAAGAAAAGGATGCAAACATTAAAATATGATATAGAGGGGGATATTGATAATTTATGGTGATATTAGTTGATTATCATATGCACTTGAGCTTCATCTTTAGGTGGAAATCTGAAAATGCTTTTATCTGCAGTGAACTTGATCATATTTAATTGAGAAGTTTTTTACCTGTACTCCTATTATTTCTCAATAATATAATTTATGTGATAAGTTGGCGAATAACTAATTGCTGTAACAACCACAAAACCTTTGTGCTTGACCCTGAAGAGAAGGAAACAAAGCTTTTTTTAGTGGGAAATATGTTAATTAACATTAACCTCCCTTGATCTCATTGAGATTTTCATTTTTCAGTTTCCATCAATGTCATCATTACAAGGTGCACTACCAAACATGGCACCTCCAACTGGATTGCTGCATACATCCAACCTCGGTGCCCCAACTTCTTATCCTCTGGCAATGCCTCAGCAAGCACCATCTTATGCATCAGCAAATCCACCAGGTAGTATCAGTTACCCTTCATTAGATCTCTGGTCCATTTTTTCGGATGCTGATGATTTCTTAATTTTTAGGCTCATACTTGGGGCATCAAGTCGCTGGTAGCATGCAACAGAGGTACTTTGGTTAATTGCTATTCCATTTTTAGTCTTGCACCAAACAATATCGTTTTAGCTTTCTCTTACCGTCTCTCCAGCACCCTATTCCCTATGTAGGACATAACAAATGAAGTGTTAACACATATGAGATTAAATCTAGAAGTATAGACTGAAACTTTCTGCCTTTTTATTGTGTACAACTTGTTTCCATTCAACTTTTCCTTCTCAAGATGGCTTACTTTCATTGTTTGAAGAATCTATATATTCGAGGGGTAATACTGAAGGAGTGCTTTTCAATTTGCAGACCACCAGGAGTAGCAAGTTTTGGCTTTGATGGGGTTGCTTTCGGAGGTCTAAACTCGAATCAGCAGTCTGGTGCATTATATTCTGCAACCCCTACCCAGAACACCTTCTCTTCTTCTGGAGGAAATCCTTTCGGATAAAGAAAATTCAGTTATAATGTGATCAAATTGAGCATTCCGATTCACAATATTTTCGTAGCTGCTTGCTGTAGAATGTTTCATGCTCAAGGCATCTCCAAGGGTTATGGCATTCATCACCGAGCATCGGATCCACTGTGCTGCTGCCAAAAGGAAGTGTAACTAGATGCTGGGAAGAAGCTAAAGGGGATTTATCTATCAAAGAATGGGAACCTTCATTGTGAGACATATCTATCATGTGCATTTTTGCCTGCTGCACCTAAAATGTGTTATTATTATTATATTTTTTCCTCTTCTTTTTTTCCTTTTATCATTTATTAATCTTCTTTATTTCACCCCTCCCCTCATTGCCTGCACTGAAAGTTGCATTGTTTTTATTTATTTTTGTTTTTCGCTAGTATTGTTGTGGTCAGTAGTTTCCAATATAGAATTTCAGCTGTATTGTACAGTTTGTATTTTACTTGTACGATAGGATTAATGTAATATCTATATTCTTTGTTCTTTTTTTCCTTCTAAGATTTGAAAAAAACCTCTGATGTTTCTGGTGATGTAGATATTTTTGACCTTATGTAGCGGTAAGACCTGCGTATTTCTTACGGTATACTTTTGACCAATTGGATTTCAAATTTTTATGATTTCGTTCTGAACCTGATCTCCAATTTGTAATTTTGATATTATTTACTTAAAGAATTATGTGAGGCAACAGGCAACTAATCATTGCTACTTAATCGGTTTAATTAAAATATATTCACAGTTCCTCCAACGTATAATCACCACCACAACGACCATGAACAATCATCATTGTCACATTTGTAATTTTGTATAATTCAAATGAAGCTCTGTTTAAAATAAAAATTGTCAGAAAAAAGTAATGGTACTTTGGCATTAATAATAAAGAAAATAATTTTGGGGGTTTGAGATTTTTTTTGGGAAGGAATGACATGATGCGTAGACATTATTGCTATACTCCACACAATCTTATTTGAGAATTTTAAAAGTAAAAATTAGTGATGTGTATCAAGAAAGCTATTATGTAATACATTATCTATCTTCAACGAGTCAATGATTCAATATGTTAGCAATTACTGTTTTAATTAGAGGCCTCAAATTTAGATATTATCTCAGAAAATAAACCTTAGATTTCAATACAAATATTGTGTGAGTATCTATCTTCAACGAATCAATGATACAATATGCCTACAACTATTGTTTTAATCAGAGGTTTTGAGTTAAGATATTACCTCGAAAAATAAACCCTACATTTTCATATGAATGTCGTGTCAGCATCTATTTTCAACTATGTCAATAACTAATATCTTAATCAGAGGTTTCGAGTTCAGATACTATCTCAAAAAATTAAAATAGACCCTACATTTCTTTACGAATATCGTTTCAGGATCTATCTTTAACGAACCAATAATTCAATTTGCTAATGCCTGTCTTAACCAAAAGCCTAGAGTTCAAATACTATCCCAAAAATAGACCTTATATTTCAATATAAATATCGAACCAAGTAAAGTTAAAAATCAATGATTCAATATACCAACAGAATCACTAGACAAAATATACTTTTTAATTTATTCCCAACTTAGCTTTGCCTTAAAGCTATTATATATGTCCTCCAAGTGGCATCCATACAATACATTTTGTATTTATTTACATTCTTTATTCCCTTTTTCATACCAACTACTTCCCTTTTTAATATTCTTATTATATTATATATTCTATACTTTGGCCTTAGACAGTACTCCCTCCGTCCCTTTTTAGTTGTCCACTTTAGAAATGACACACAGATTAAGGCAACAATGATTAGCACAGTGAAGTTACAATTTTATCCTTATGACAACTTTTCACTTCAAAATTACAACCACTTATTTGAATTCAAGTGAAATAAATTGGAGGGAAACAACATACACTTTTACAATTTTCAAGAAGTGTAAATAAGGGTATAATAGGAAAAAATTTGTTGTCCTTTCTTGATTTGTCAAAATGGACAACTAAATAGGGACAACTAAAAAAGGAAATATGGACAAGTAAATAGGGACGGAGGGAGTACAATTCTAGCCAATATTAGGATTTGCAATTTTCTTAGAAATAGGGTAATGTCAAAATAGTTTTTATAACAACTTGAACAAGACACATTAAAAGTTCTTCACAAAAAAAATAACATTATTAAATATGATCATAAGGGTTTATTGATCTCCGAGAATAATTGTTATATACAATAAAACCTCTACAAATTAATATAGGTGGGACCAGGTAATTTTATTATTTTATAGAGATATTATTTAATCGATAAATTATTAATTATTAATTTAAAGAATGGTTTGAGATTTAATGAAGGTTAATTTTGATTATATCAAATCATTGTATCTTACTAATTTATATATCATATTTATTGATTTCACATAAAACAATATTATATATAAAGTACAACGAATACATCAAAATCGTTGTATTTTATTAATTTATGTATCATATTTATTGAATTGTCACTACCGTGCAAACAAATGAGCATGGATCTTGTTGGCATTCTCAATACTTATTGAATAAATATAGAGGAGGAAATTAATTTCGATCTTGTTGGCATTCTCAATCATTTTGTTGCATTCCTTCCCTTTTATTCTTGATTTAAGTAACGTAATCTTATCCTATGAATGCTAATGAGAAAGCAAAAAAGGTTGTAAAAGATTAAGCTAAGGGAGATTGACATTTCGAAGTCAAGTCTTTCTCACATTGCAATTACATGGATTGGAATATAAAGGTCAAATAACTAAATTTTGACTTTAAATTTGAATATAATTTCTTAAATTAAAAATTACATTTTTGAAAATTATACAAAAAGTATTACAAGTCAAGAAAACTAATGAGTATTTACCAAAAAGAAAAAGAAAGAGAAAGCTAATGATTCAAATATTACTATATATTAGAAGAGTCTAGGATTTACTACCAAAAGTGGGCCCCATCTCCTTCCACTTAAATAATATTTTTCAACCTTATCATGGTAAAAGTTGAATTTATTATCCTTTTCATTTAATTTTATATGATATTATTTTTCTATAAAATCATTATATATGTTTAATAATTTAAATTTCAAAAACATTATAATTTAACTTTAAAGATTTTATTTTATCAAAATCTTGTACATTGAAATATATAGTTATGAATTTAAAATTTTTTTAAAATCATATAAAAATTTCAATACCTTCTCAAATTCCATAATATAACACTTAAATACTACATATTATATATTAATTACTATACTATAAATGACTTAAATACTCCATATTATCTATTACAATAATTAACAATTATTTGACACTTTAAATTCTATCAATGCCATATAAATTAGGATAAAAAACCTAACATATAATATTTAAATATATTTAAAAATAATATAAGTAATACTATACATTACAATAATTAACATCTTAATTATTTAAAACTTATATAAAAAATTTAATTGAGTCTCTAAATTCTATTGGTACCACATAAAATAGATTATATAATAAACATATATTGTTCTCCATATTATCTATTACAATAATTAACAATTATTTGACACTTTAAATTCTATCAATGCCATATAAATTAGGATAAAAAACCTAACATATAATATTTAAATATATTTAAAAATAATATAAGTAATACTATACATTACAATAATTAACAGCTTAATTATTTAAAACTTATATAAAAAATTTAATTGAGTCTCTAAATTCTATTGGTACCACATAAAATAGATTATATAATAAACATATATTGTTTGAAATTGACAAAAAAGAAACAATAAATTACAATAATTAATAAAAAAAAAAATTCCACTCCAAAAAACCTATCAATTAACAACATATATTGTTTGAAATTGACGAAAAAGAAACTATAAATTACAATAATTAACAAAATAAATCTCTCCACTCCAACAAATCTATCAATTAATGCCACATAAATTGGGACATGGCAAATAACATATAGTATTAAAAAATTAGGTTCAAAATGTACTAAAAAATACAATAATTAACAACTTAATATATTAAAGAGACATAAAAAAGGGTTAATATTTTAAATTCTGCATGTGCCACATAAATTAGAACAAATACAGTAATAAATATTACTTTCAAAATTATTTTAAAAAAAAGTACTACAAATCACAATAGCTAACAATTTAAAATATTTTTAAAATCATATAAAAATTTCAATAACTTCTCAAATTCCATAATATGACATAATTTTTTTAAAAAAAGTGTTATAAATCATAATAAATAGTACAATATTTAAACTACTTTAAAAGCATTATAAATTATAATAAATAATACAACAATTTAAATTACTTAAAATTTAACGACTTAAAAATATTTTTTAAATGTATTAAAATTTTGGTTAATTGTCAAAACTTTACATGTGCCACATAAATTGGGACATGGACAGTCACACATATTTTTTAAAAAAATTACATTAAAAGTATTCTATCAATTAACAACATATATTGTTTGAAATTGACGAAAAAGAAACTATAAATTACAATAATTAACAAAATAAATCTCTTGACTCCAACAAATCTATCAATTAATGCCACATAAATTGGGACATGGCAAATAACAGATATTATTACAAAATTAGGTTCAAAATGTACTATAAAATACAATAATTAACAACTTAATATATTAAAGAGACATATAAAAATGGTTAATATTTGAAATTCTGCATGTGCCACATAAATTAGAACAAATACAGTAATAAATATTATTTTCAAAATTATATAAAAAAAAAAGTACTACAAATCACAATAGCTAACAATTTAAATATTTTTAAAATCATATAAAAATTTCAATAACTTCTCAAATTCCATAATATAACACTTAAATACTACATATGATATATTAATTATACTATACTATAAATGACTTAAATACTCCATATTATCTATTACAATAATTAACAATTATTTGACACTTTAAATTCTATCAATGCCATATAAATTAGGATAAAAAACCTAACATATAATATTTAAATATATTTAAAAATAATATAAGTAATACTATACATTACAATAATTAACAGCTTAATTATTTAAAAACTTATATACAAAATTTAATTGAGTCTCTAAATTCTATTGGTACCACATAAAATGGATTATATGATAAACATATATTGTTTGAAATTGACGAAAAAGAAACAATAAATTACAATAATTAATAAAAAAAATAGTCGACGAAAAATAAATTATAAATTACAATAATTAACAAAATAAATCTCTCGACTCCAACAAATCTATCAATTAATGCCACATAAATTGGGACATGGCAAATAGCATATATTATTAAAAAAGTAGGTTCAAAATGTACTATAAAATACAATAATTAACAACTTAATATATTAAAGAGACATATAAAAAAGGGTTAATATTTGAAATTCTGCATGTGCCACATAAATTAGAACAAATAGATTAATAAATATTATTTTCAAAATTATGTTAAAAAAAGTACTACAAATCACAATAGCT